AACAAAATGCAAAAAGCAACCTGTTGTTTAATCTGGACAAGTAAACACATGTGGTTTTAATAGGTGGGAAGAATACCCCAGTAGGACTGCTCCAGGCATTGGTATACTTTTAGCCCTAAAAAGGAGTGTAGACTCCTCTAGCTAAATCCATGACTGTTAATTGATCTGAGTGGTGTTCCTGCCCTTCTGTTCTGTTATAAACTCAGCCATTGGAATGATTCAGCTTAATCCTGTTTATCCAGGACACACACTAACGTTTGGATCAAGTGAAATCCAAGTAGGCACATGCCAAAACCAGCAAAACCTGGTCTCAAAACTAAAGACAGGAAAAGAGAGGGTTAAACCTGAAATTTTAAAAACAGAGTTTAGAAAACCTCTCCATCTCCCTGTTTTATGAGGCATATTTTTTAGAAATGGTATAGTAATTGTAGAATATCTCCTTCCTCCTCCATGTCCCTGTAGCCAGAGCACCAACTTTGTTCTGTGTCATCACACAATGGTTTCTTGTTATTGAGGCTGTTGCTTTATGGATGTATGAATTTAATTTTCAATAAAATTTTGCATCTTGATTTATCTTGAAGTTTCTTTCTTTTCTGTCTCTCTTACCTTTTTTATGAGTATGGGTTTCTTAAATACTAGTTCTTCTCATTTAGTTCTTTAAAGCATCACATATATATATAGTCTAAAGAACAAAAAAATAATACTGTGATTCTATCCACATCTCTGTCAGCATATAGTTGTTTTTATTTACTTAATATATACTTTATTAGTACTATTTAAATGAATCTTAAATATATTTTAGCCCTATGCATGTTTAATTTCTTCTTAGTGAGCCAAGCAACACAGTAGTACTTGTTGATATCCCCAGCCCAGCCTCAAGTTGTACTTTAAGTACACAAATTTATTTAAAGGGATTTAAACCAAATCTAGATTTATTAGAGTATCTGGTTTTCATGATAAAGACAGTTAGCAAATACTCATCCAGAAGTTTGTAATGGAACTTGTCCAGTGCATTTTTAAAAATTATATTATGTGCTGGGTTTTGAGTAATTCCTTTTATGAGTCTTGAAAGAAGTTACTACAAGTAAAAATTGTTAATCTGGTGGCTTAGGGAGTTGCTTAGGGAACTCTTTATATCAGAGACAAACTATATTGTTAAAATCAGATGCTCTTGTTATACTTGCAATGCCATTTCAAATAGTCAAATAACTGATTCACAAATCCCTTCAAGTTGATATATTTACTTTCTTAATATGTGATTTTTCTTTTAAGATTTTTCTTTTCTTCTTTCACCCTGTTATACAAGTTTTTGATGGGTTTAGAGTGGCTTTTGTATAATAGTATATATTTAAAAGATGTAAAATATTTGCAAATTATAGCCAATCTAAATCAAAAGCTGAGTCTGCCTTAGAAGTCTTGGAAGTGGTTATGCTTGGCCAGGGAGAAAAGATTACAGACAGGAATGAATATAATATAAAAGGAGATACATTTATATTTCTGATATTCCAATCTTTGTCTTTTTGGACCTTCCTCCTTCTAGGATGATCTGCTGTATGCTCAAGATCCCTTTTCCATCTGAAATCTACAAGTCAGAAATACTTACTGACGCTGACTTACCTTGAGTTATCACCAAATTCTAATAAAGAGCTGCTTCTTAACTGGCAGTCAAAACTGTACATAAATTTCAAAATCCCTTAGTAGAATTCTAGGCATCTACTGGTAGGTGGAGAAGATAATTTGAATTATTGACTTTTCAGATTTTTTTTTTCTATCGCATAGTCACTAGATCTGGAATCAAGAAACAATTTCTAATTCTGGATGTGCTATAGAAGATGTTAGCTCTTAAGTTTCAGATTTTACCTTTAGCAGTGTAAGCAGAATCGTAAATTACTAGAGTTTAGAACTGGATTTGGCTTCACCAGGGCTTCTGTCTAAAATTCCTGAAAGTACATTACTATATTTGTTATGATAAATCCCTAGAGAAATTTAAAAAACATCCTGAGGCTTAAGCTTTGTTTTTGTTCCACAAGAAAACCATGTTCCTATTCCTTTATCTCTTCTTTTTTTTTAGTTTTCTTTTGTTTTTTACCTTTAAGGTTGTGAGTAAGGAGGAAGTTAAGAATATCCTGTTCTCCTTGAACACTTCTATCCCTTCAGCTTCTCAGAAACCTTGGGAGTGTTCATACAAGACATTATGTTTACTAAAGAAAAATACAGCAGTTCTCTTTCACAGCCTTTAGATTTGCAACCCATTTGTTCATTTTTGCGCCACTTGCTATACTGTACGGAAGTTAATAGAATATTCCTTCTACTTTTGATACTGCAAATCTACTAAACAAGAGGCAACATTGCCTATTTCCTCGTGGTTTTAAAACCCAATTCTACATCAAGGGAGTTGTATCCAGAAGAATTGACGTTTTCAGACCCTGTTTTCACATCATTCTAACTTCTATATGTGTGTAATTAAGAAACAATGCCACTTGTCTTGTTCTAATATCAATCCTTTTTTTTTCTTCTATTTTTTATACTAATACTGCTTATCCCTTTGAGGAAGAACTGTTGTTGTTGCATACCACTGCGTGGAAAGAGACCCATACCTGACCCTCCAGTGGATTTTTAGAGACGGTTAATAGCAGGGGAGATTGCTCATCCTTCTCCATCAGGAGAGCAGCTGGTATATTTGAACTGCGTTCCTTCAGGATTGCAGTACAGCTTCTTCCCAGTAGGCCATCAGTAATCCCTTTGAGGAAGGACTAGAGGATTAAATATTTGAGAGGGGAAGTGAGAAGGGAGTTAAAATTTATCAGGCAGCTATAAATCAACAATATCTGGGGATCTTGCATGATCTTATTTAATCTTCATAGACTCTCTTCTAGGGTAGCATAATAAGAATACATGTTATACATATAAAGCAAGTGAAACTCAGGAATCAAGAATCATTTCGTTTGTGTCAGATCTGGAAGTTGTCTTTGGTTGAACCAAAATGCACATTCATTCCATGTTGTTCTGTGGTTCGTGACCTACCTTTTTTCATCTCAGGTAACTTATAATAAAAAAAGAATATTTGGAATAAAAAAAAAGATCCTGAAAGAAAGGCATACTGCCATTGTTACAGGCTTTGGAAGAAGACATTTACTCTGAGTGTCTAGGGAAAATACCGAAGCCATTCATGTAGCTTTATATTAATTGTTGTTGTGTGTCATAGAGTCAGAACCAACCCATAGCTGACCCTCCAGTGGGTTTTCAGAGGCAGTAAATCACATAAGAGGAGACTGACCAGCCTTATCCCATGGAGCAGCTGGTGGATTCAAACCATATGCCTTTAGGATTGCAGCACAGCTTGTTACTCACTAGGCCACCAGTGGTCATTAATAGTTAAAGTAACCCTTTCCATTAGTTCTTCCTGTATATATGGAAGGTTTTGGGCAACTGGAGAAATTGGTGGATGCTTCTTACCTTAACAGCCTTTTGAGGCCAGGCTGCCCAGCACCTTAGAGAGTTTATAGTTAGAAACAGGATCTGACAAACCACACCTTTTCTGTCCTGCCATGCGGTTCCCTATGGCCTTTCAGACATTTCCCAGTATATCTCAATGGACTTCATCTTGCACTGGGGTAAGTTATATTCTGAAGTCTTTGGGTGATCAATGGCAATGTGTTCCTTTATTGCACCCATTATTCTATGTCCTCAAATAGGCTTCCCCCCCTACTCTGACACCTATTTTTTTCCAATTCTGTAACCTATTGCATACCTCTATCTTATTTCTGAAAATGTATAAAAATATTAAAACCAAACCAGACAAAAAGGAAACAGAATAACTCTTGGACAAATAGCCAGAAAAATGAGTTCTCCATCTGACCCTTTTTTCCTGAAATGTATCTAAGTGGAATGGATCCCCCAACCTTTTAGTTAATAGCTGAGCTGTGCATGAGGATAGCAAGAAAAGACCTTCATCTGCCATTGATTAGAAAACCAAAGTTTTCCATGATCTCTGTAATGACTCATTTAGATCTGCTGTCTTGTATAAAACTGTCCTTCAACTCATCTTCTTCAGTTCTCACTACAGCCTTTTAAGGTAGGTTTGGTCATTCTTCCTATTTTGTCTACCATAACTTAAGGCTGGGGCTCTATCTTATTTCTCCTGGCACTAACATCTCACTCAGACAGTAAGTGTGTATGCTGACACCTTACATGTTTTTGTTTCCTTGTGAGAAAATGGAGGTAGGAGCAGGACAGGTTTGTTCCTTGATTTTAAAAGTCTTTATCTACCTTTGCTCTAGCTTACATTACTAATGCCTAAATATAAAATGTAACAAACTCAATTTCAAATGAAAATTTTTCTTTTGGTTGTTACTTTATAACTTAGAAGACTTGTAAATGAACAGAACAATTATTTGCATGCCAGGGTTCTCCTATGTAGACTGTGTCAGGCTCTTGACATTCCAGTGGGTTCTGTCATAGTCAGTGAGCCAATGAATCCCACATTGAAACTTCTACAAAGCCTCAGGTGAATGGCCAAATACCCTGTTTGATCAGTTTTCATATAATCTTCTGTTATCCCAAACAGCATAGGAAGTTCCAAGCTGAGTGCCTGAGCTGCAGTTTGTGTATGACATCTCCATGTCTTTTCATAAGTCAATGATCAGTTCTTCTCTCTTATTGACTTTCACATTTGTTTGACTTGAAGAGCAAAAAGGGAGCATGAGGGGGGAAAAAATAAAAGAGCAATGCAATTATTTTTTTTCCTTTCACAAAGAAAATGCTTAAAGAAAATATCCCATTTTATACTCTGCATATTCAGGAAGCTATGATAGATTTCCTGTTCCTCTTTAGTGAGAATATATTTTCACTTGACAACAAAATCAACTTCTTACCACTCCTGGAGGGATATATCTGCAAATGCACCATTCCAGACCATGTTTTAAACTGAGAGCTATTAAAAGGAGAGTCCTCTCTTGAGTATTGGGCGCTCACCATCATTCCCGTGTTTGTGTTCCTAGGAACCCGATGCAGTCACAGGCTTCATACGGTAACAGCTCCCCACCTCTGAACAAAATGAACAGCATGAACAAGCTGCCTTCCGTGAGCCAGCTTATCAACCCTCAGCAGCGCAACGCCCTCACTCCCACCACCATTCCTGATGGCATGGGAGCCAACAGTAAGAGCATCTCCCTATAGCAGCAGCTGAAGGACTGTCAGGCCTGGTGGAGGAGGAGAATCTGCTTGGGGAGGGAGGGAGGGGGCAGACCTGCATTTCAGTTAAGTGTGAGACAGACAGAAACAGATCAGATGGAAGTGACATGGCTCTGTGTCTCCTAGTGAAATGTTTACGTTTGAGAAATTTGTGATCAATCTGCTATGAATAGAGAAGGCTGTTAGTGTAGGATGCATTACACTCTCTAAAAAGAATAATCCACATCCTGTTGACCTAATTGGAACCCAACCTCTTGTTAAAAGACCCTGAATCAAGTATGGGAACTAACTTGATGTGGTAGATGTTAAAACTGGAGAACTAGATTTGAGTCTGGACTCTATTGCAAAATTAGCTATATAGGTGTAGACAAGCCATCTCCCTGCTCTAATGCCTGGTTATTCATCTATAAGTTTATCACTGTGAACATTTAATACTTTACAGTGCTATGTGTGTGCAATCATGGTCCTCAAATGAGTCTACTACATCATTTATGTAGTCCTTTATAAAAGCTCCTCCCACATTACTTATTCACATGCAAATTACTCATATCCCCTAAATATAAATGCAAGACACACAATGTGAGAAATGGGCCTCCAAGTGGAGGATGATAAGTCTAGCAAAGGGGATACTCAAACATGAAGGAAAAGGTAATGACAAAAATGATGAAGCATCTATAATATGCTCAGGCATGTGAAAGACTGAACACTGTATAGACAACATTCTGCAATTAAAAAATCAGGGCCTCAATCTTGGCTTTTCAAATTCCTCCTTAGTGTCATCAAGCCTTTGAGCTTACATTTCAGTACTGCCTTGGAAATATTGAGCTTTCTTAGAGAAATATTTAAAGCTAGAATTATGATAATTTTAATAAGTGGGAAGAGTATGTAGCATAGTTGCCGGGCATGACAACAAGACATGCTAGCTGCCAGAGTGATAAATGAATCCTAACACTCAAAATCTGAGACCGTAACAGATAAGCTACCTGGATATTCTGTCAAGATAGAACCAACCCATAACTGATCCTGCAGAAGTTTTCAGAGGCAGTTAATTGCCTGGAAAGAGATTATTCATCTTTCTCCCTTGGCCAATATAGAGAGACACAACATACGCATTCATTTTTTTTTTTCTCTTTCTTGTGCCATCTTAAATTTCTCAATTTATTTCTCGAGATGAAAAAATAGTGGCAATGGGGGATGCTCCTCCACATTTCGATGTAACATACAATAGACTTGCTCTTAATTACACTACACACTTATATATTCCTTTGATTTCTTTTTATATCAGGATGGTCAGAGAGAAAATCAGACTGAGATGTGACAGGCCTATTTTTTTTTAGTAAATTGTGACATGGGCCTTTCCCCTTTGATTAATTATTGTTTATTAAAGTAGAAAGAAACTTAAAATGTGTAGGCAGTATAATATTTTGCTCTTTTTTGACCTGAGAAAAACTATTTCATGACTAGTATTGAAATTAAGCATCTCCCTTCTATCAGCGAATATTAACAGCTATGGCTTAATGCAGTACCAGTAAGCATGGTGGTATCCCTACATACAATCTAGAAACGAATCGTAAGAGAGAGGTAAATTTTAATTGTATCACTTTTTGTTTGGCATATAAGCTCCCTGAAATTATTGCAATAAATGCTTCTATCATCACATAAATATTCTAAAGGTCATTTTCTCCTCCACCAATTTGCTCACTTGTTCATTTGAAATGTGTTTACCGACTGTCTGCTCTGTGCCCAACACTGTGCTAGATCTGTAAATCTCATGTATTTGAGACGATTAGTCTAATGAGAAATAGAAATACCAGTGAAAACAAATAAAAGGCACTATGTATTAGCAGTAAGAGCTGTGAGCTATTGGATAGAGAATCAAAGAAAAGAAAAGGAGGGGAAGAAATTATGCTGAGTGAAGCAAAACAAGTCAAGAACTGAGTAATTAGTTTGGACTTTGATGATTATTCTGTTAGCCTGTGCACATGATGAGTAAAGTGGTGTAATGAGAGACAAGACTAGAAAGGAAGGCGGAAAGAATCAGCCCCGTTAACCATTAAAGCAGGCCAGATGGACCACTGGGGGGCTTTGACATGACCACAGCAGTAACCCTCTCTGTTCCTCCTACTTCTGTCCAGTTCCTATGATGGGCACCCACATGCCAATGGCTGGAGACATGAATGGACTCAGCCCCACCCAAGCCCTCCCTCCCCCACTCTCCATGCCATCCACCTCCCACTGCACCCCCCCACCTCCGTACCCCACAGATTGCAGCATTGTCAGGTGAGTCCATAGTATGTGCCCCTGGGGGGCCTGTCCTAAGCATCTCTGGGTGGTGGAGGGTGAACACTGCTGATGTTATAAAGACAGTCTGGACGAAAGAAAGCAGCCTCATGGTTGAGATCTAGCCACTCTTATTTTGATTAACAAGGTCGCCGGCATTGTTTGGACAAAGAAAACTGCTAGAATCAACATGGGGTAAAGTGAAAATGTGAAATCTATAGGCCTGAAGTTTTTCATGCCTGCTTCTCTCATTTTCACTTTACTCCCTCCCCCCACCCCTTATATGTTTACACCATCCGTTGTGGCCCTAAAATTGGTGCTCAGGGCTGGGGTTCCAAAAAGGGCCATGAGCTTTCTATCTTGCTCCCTCTCCTGCTCTCCAGGTCTCCTAGCTTTCAGCCACCATGGCAGAAACTATTAGGGAGTTAAAACAATGTTGATATTAACAAAAAAAGACAGAGATGCTTAAGGATCTGATTGCCTTTCTTTCATAGCCATACAGTGAGTGGGTACACTGCATCTAGCCAGAAATGGTGAAAAAGAAATGAATCTTGAAACCTGTTTGTTACACACTCACCCTTAGTGCACCTCACCTTTCTCTGCTTCATGAGCAGCATGGTTCTTTAGTTTGGCTGCTGGAAGAGTTTGTGCTGATTCCTCTGTGACTGAAGGCAGACACACTAACAGGTGTCAGTCATAGAGGTGGCCAGATTACGTGGTCTATCCCACTGTGGGGCTGCCACTCTCTGATGATGATGGCAGCATCCATCTGAGGCCAACACCAAGGAGGAGTGACTGTCTTCTGACAAAGACATAAATCCCAAAACAATACTTCACAGTAGTTGGTGTTAATTACAATAGTAATTGATGTTGTATACCATCCAGTCAGACCCATCGCATAACTGACCCTCTAGTGGGCTTTCAGAGGTATTAAATTGCACAGAAGGAGATTGCCTGTGTTTTCTTCTGCAGAACAGCTGGTAGATGTGAACCATGCACCTCTGAGTTGGCAGCACAATTCCTTACCACTGAACCACCAGAGCTTAAAGTAGCAGCTATGTTTCATAATCATGTAAGCCATGCACAGATACCTTGAACACAGAACAATTAAAAAGAGAGGAAGATTTTGAAGTAAAGAGCCAGAGGATTTAAGAAATAAAAGTCAGTTTGCATGATTTTTTCTTTTCTTTCTCCCTGCAGTGGCTCTGCACACAGAATCCCTAGAATTTTATTGAAGCTGTTGCAAAGTTCAAGCGACTAGATCTCCCCAAACCTCAATCCAAGGCCCACAAACAGGCTCTTCTGCAGGGCATTCAATGGCAATATGTTGGATTTTCCTTTATCTCGCTAATGCAGTTGGGGTGAACTTTCTTTTTCTGTTTCCTCCTTCCTCCTCCCTCCTCCCTCTGCAGTTTCTTAGCGAGGTTGGGCTGCTCATCATGTCTGGACTATTTCACGACCCAGGGGCTGACCACCATCTATCAGATTGAGCATTACTCCATGGATGTAAGTAACTGCTAGACTATTCTCTAGAGTTGTATTTCTTCCTTTTTTACCTCTCGCCAAATCAACTTCTGGTCCAACCTCTCAAGGTTTTAAAAGCTATTATGGTTATCAAGCCTCAGTGCTCAATTTTGATGGAATACCTGGAAAGACAGCCGGACCTCCCTGCAGGTGTTCACTGTACTTCATTGTGTGGAGAGTGAAAAATAGGGACTATGTGTCTCTCTTGTAAGAAAGTGATGCTTTCTAAAGAATTAAGAGAACTTTCAAATACTTTATTTAATCTGTGTGAGACTTAAGGAGAATAGCAAAGAGAGCATAGTGTGATTCCCACTTAAAAGCATGGAGAGATGGCAATATAAGTTTTGCTATGATCAATTGATGATGGAACTAGGAATAGAACTCTGGGCTACAGACATCTGGCCTGTTACCCTAATGCTGTATTATGTGGTCTTTTCTGTCCCTCCATAAAATCAGACCTTTAGCAGCTTCAACTGTCTCTCCCACCCCTATCATTGTTATGATAACTTGGAATTGCATATTCCTTAAATAAACTTCTCTCAACCTCAGTTAACTAAATTAGAATCAAAAGAATTCCTTTACAACTCTAATATTCACTGAATTCTTGAATCAAGTTGGATGGGTGAGGAATTGTTCTTGCTTTGCATATCTTCTCTTGAACTGCAGTTCATCCAGGAGCTGGTCTTGCTTTGCAATACAGCAGTCTGAAATTCCTCCTAGACATCTCTTCTTGTGCTGCTCTTTGGGATTTACTATCCTTTCGTCCAGCTTTCTGAGGGTGCTTTGGGCTGGTGGGGAAAGATGCTCTCTGCCTCTGCTGCTGCTTCTGTAGTTGGCACCTCTTTCTCCCCCCTCCTTGAGCACCGATGCCAGCGATACCCCTTCAGCATGAGAATGCTCTAGGCCTTTGAGGACAGTATATGCTGTACTGAGCCCATGTCCAACCCCTTTCCACCCTGGGATTCGCCCCTTGATAGAGTGAAATATGAATAAAAGCTAGGGAAAGCTTTAGCAGTACGTTCCCGCAAGATCCTGTTAATATTATTCTGAGAGAGGTAGAGGGAACTGCATGTGGCCTGTGGTTGAGAAAAGAGTGGACATGTCCTGAGTAGAGTCCTGCATGGAATCTGCCCTTCCTTGTATTTTTCACATTATATTTGCCCCTGAGGAATTGTGCCCGGATGTTTCTTTGGCTATTTAGAATCTACTGGCACTTGTCACAAGACTACCTCTACTGGGTTTTGTGCCAGTCCCTGGGCCATGGTTTCTCCTCTTTCAGTCCCAATCTGTACACTGTACAGGCTGTGAGGAGGATAATTAGAGTTTGCTTTAAAGAGACATTTGAACTTTTTGGAACAAAGGGTGATTCTTGAGTCTCAAGAGAATTCACACAACGTTATCTTCTAGGAATTGTCTTCTTTAGGATATATTCTGCTGAGAATAAAAATCTGGGGTCTTTCTAATGACCTGAGAATCTAATTCATTCACATCACGATATTTCTGCATTTGGGATTGCTGGAAAGTTTTCCAGTCTCTTCACCTTCATCTCCGCTTCCTCCTGCTCGTTCCTGGAAATCAACCCCCCTCTTTCTCAGCTTGTCTCTCAGCACCACACTAAGTTATCTGGCTTTCTTTCCTGGAATATAAAGAAATTATTTCATTTTGGAATTTTTCAGAAGCCTCCACTCTAGAGGGAAAAGATAGTAATTCAGAGTAGTAATAAAAGCTAATATTTATGTATTTTGTGAAGTACTTTCATATTCACATTTAAATATGTAATCATAATTTGTATTGACCTAAAAAAGGAATCATGGTTCTATTTTACTCACTGAAGTAAGGCAGGAATGAGTGACTTGCTGAAGACCTAGAGCCAGTCATTGGCAATAAGATTCTCTACCAAAGTCTTCTGACTCTGAGTGCACTTGTATTGCCAAACTAGCATGCCCATGCATGCATGAACACACATGCCCCCTCCCAAATAAATTTGAAATGTTACTGATACAAACTGATAAAAAAAAAACCCAAAACGTATGTAGATACATTAAGAGGTGCTGCCATTTCTTAAGTTTGATTCTGTTTGTAATGCCTTCTGTCTCTACACCTAGAACATTGATGCATCTAACTCTGCATAGTTATGCTTTGATTTATATAAACACATTTTTGACCACATGGCAGGTTTGGAAAAAGTGAAGTCACAGAAGCAACCTTAAGTGTACAATTCATGATCTTATTTAATGCTTAGATTTGTGGTAGATGTTATTACATTTGTTTTGTAGAAACTGTCTCTCTGCATATAAAGAAGAGGTATCTACCATTAAGCTGAATTTTAATAATATCAGGAATAAAAGTTAATTAGCTCAGTGTCTAATACGCAATAGCTGTTGGTAATTGTCTTCTCCTCTCCTCTTGCAGTGGCACTAATACCTCTAGACTAGACGACAGTACTAGAGCCAGGCAGATGTAGGAATCTAAAATATATACATTTGATGCTTCTGTTGAGAATTTTTGTCCTCTCATTTAGTTTGACTCCCCATTTTACCAGTGAAGAGACAGGCCAGCAGAACATAAGTGGAGTGTTATCCATAGGCAGAGATGGCACCTCAAGATTGTAACTCAAGATTTGTGTTTACATACATGTAACATGCAAGGCTATCTGAAAGCTAATTTTATTTTCCAGTATAGTGATGTATAAATTCCGGTCAATTGAAACGGAGGTCAGAAGGTGAAATAATGGCCTCAATGTTGCTTTGTTTTTTTACCCTAATGCTCACCTACTTCCTCCACAGGATTTGGCAAGTCTAAAAATCCCTGAGCAATTCCGCCATGCCATCTGGAAGGGCATCCTGGACCATCGGCAGCTCCATGACTTCTCCTCTCCTCCCCACCTCCTGCGGACCCCAAGTGGTGCCTCTACAGTCAGTGTGGGCTCCAGTGAGACCCGAGGTGAGCGTGTCATTGACGCCGTGCGCTTCACCCTCCGCCAGACCATCTCTTTCCCACCTCGTGACGAGTGGAATGACTTCAACTTTGACATGGATGCCCGTCGCAACAAGCAGCAACGCATCAAAGAAGAAGGGGAATGAGCCCCATTGTGTGAACTTCTACTACCCTCTTCCTGCCTGTCCACTCCTTACAAAGCACTGCTGCCTGGTCTTCAAAGCATTCTCCTAACTCCTCTCCTTTCTCTTCTTAGCCTGATTTCTTATGGGAAAGAGAGGTAAGAGGCTACCTCTTACCAAATGCTAATGTCTGGCCTGGCGTCTGGCTGCATTTCTGGCTCTAAGCCTCAGTTCTATTGCTTGCAGAACTGGAGTTACCATGGCTATGTAGAAGTGCGAAAAAAAAAAACACAACACAAAACCAGAGGGTGTCTCCATAAGCTGCAGAAATCTCTTGTAGACTTTTATAAAGCATTTTCACTCCAATAGTCTAAGACTATATATAAATATATAAATAAATATATAAATATACAGTATATATTTGTGGGTGTGGGGCATTAGATATTGTTTAAAATGTAATTTAAAGAAAAGGAAATTGAGTTGCACTTATGGACTTTTTTTTAAACTCTCTTATTTGTGCCCATTCTCTCAAGGGCTGCCATATATGTTAACAGTTGGGTAGAACTTGATGACATCTGTGACAATGATGTATATATAGGTCCTTTTGAGTTTTTGATGCTGCAACTATATCACATCAAATTCTGTTTAGATTCAGTTGCATATACCATTTTTTTTTTGCCACAGCCTTACAAGTGATGATGATTCTCTTTGTGATGATTTCCTCCAATAATAGCAACAGAAAATCTGTAGCCACCATCACTTGTACTAGAGGAAATGACACATTCTGTTCTGATTTTGGTTAGAAGTGTTGGATAAGGGGCATAAACCAGATTCTTAAAAGCTCTGCAGCAGCTAATTCAGACACCTGGTATCCCCTATTTTCCTGTATTGATAAGCCCCTGGGATTTAATATAGAATAGCTTCTTTCTTCGTATTTCTTACCCACTACGAAATTCTTAAACTAAATTTCAGTGGTAGAGTGACTAGCTCAGTGATGTATTTGCTACTTGTTAGAATAAATATTGGCTTGATTTGGATGAATACCATCTATCTGTTTTGTTGCAGTGGAGTTGTATGTTCTGCTCAAAATATCCAAGGAAAAAACCAACCTAAAATATTTAGAATATTTGAGTCAATGGTAACCAGTACAGTATATCTGTGAACCATGAATTGAGGTTCTTGAAAAATATTCTGAATCATTGGTAATACTGTTTAGTAGTATTTCTTTTCAAGCCCCTCCTGTTGTATAAATCTCATGTGTAGATACTTATTTACCTTTTTCTCTTTAAGGTAAAATGGATGGGGTAACTAGTCTTCACACTTTGAGGAAACATGTAAACAATAGAGTTCTTCTAGAACTTTCAGAAGAATACTTGATAGCAAATATTTTTCTTTCAGGCTAAAAAAGTAATATTTTGTAAATATTCCCGTGATATGTAAAGTCCTCCAATATATTCTGTAAAAGGGCTATCATTGCACATAAGCGGCCATTTTCATTTTTGATGTGCAAAAGAGCTGATTTGGCTCTGCAATATAATACTGTACAAGATGCCTTTGAGAAGTGTATGGTGTGTTTTGCGTGTGAATTGCATTGTTTGTTTCTTGTTGGGATAGTTGGTTTTCCAGAACCACAATTGCAGCCGCCTTTTTTTTTTTAAAATCATTTTTATATTTTCATGGAAATATCCTTTAGTAAAATCAAAATGTCAAAAGTAATTCCATAATTGTAAGATGGGGGGGACTTTTTTATTATTATTTTTTTAAAATTTTGTATGTTAAAGAGAGTGAGTCCTTGATTTCAATGTTTGATTATGCTTAACTGATAATAAGCACTGTTAATTCGTGGAACAGGCATGCAGCTTTCTTAAGCCATTCAACAGTCAGAATGAGAGCTGAGCCTGGGCAATGATAGGAGGATAAATGGCTTTCTCTCTTACCCCGAGTGCTTGTTAAGCCCTGTAGGGCTATTCCAGCACTATTTTCACAGCATAACACACTCAGTAATTCTTATACCCTATCGTATGGGCTTAGTATTAGCCGAAGCTGGCCACAGGTATAAGCCTCTCATCCTGGTGACAAAATAGTCTGAGTATAGGAGTATGTAAACAGTGCACAGGTCGGAGTGGGCTTACGGGAGTTTTTGCCACCTCAGCTCAATACAGTTAGCTGCAGAAGGGAAAATTTTTCTTTGGAAGAGATTATTAACAGAAAGAGCAAGCTGAACGTTCTCATAAAATCCATTTATCCTTTGTCTCCTTGAGTTGCCATTAAAATAGAGGATGTAGGATGTTGAATGTTAAAGGGTTGTGTTTTTTAATTGTTATTTTTATAATTGTATAAAACGGTAAGCAAATGTCAAAAGTTTTATATGCTTTATTAATGTTTTTTGAAAGATTCTTTCTTAGAGATGTGATAACTTTTTTTTTTAAAGTTTTCAGTTGCTTGTCTTTTGGTATTTTGGTTATGGCTTTTAGTGAGCCAGAGGCAAATCTAAATGAAAAGCCAAGTATATTTGCCACGACATGCAATAAAATAAAGAAAATAAATAAAAACATCATGAGAGGTGGTATTGTCTTGATATTGTGTGTGTGTGTGTGTGTGTGTGTGTGTGTGTGTGTGTGTGTGTTTCTGTGTGTTCTTCAGCTTTGAGGAAGAAGAGACACTAAGGGGGACAGTACATCTCATTGCCTTTGAGTTGGAACCATACCTGACTCTTGATCAGGTTTTCAGAAGCTGTAAATCACATGGGAGGAGATCGCGCATCTTTCTCCTGCAGAGCAACTCTGATGGATTGCAACCATCAGAGAGTTGATACCTCTGGATTAGCAGTTCAACACTCTATGGACCAGACCCCAAGAGAAATATTAGAGAAGCTTAAGTGTTGATGGTTTGCATCTTAGGACGGATATTCTTATTTTATCAAACCTGTGAAGGTGGCCCAGGAAAATATTTACTCAATCCAGCAGATTCTTACACATTTATTCACTTACTTGAAGCCAGAGTTTTATTTGAAACAGGATGTGAGCTGCAGACACTCCCGATGTCTAATTTATTGTGCTTCCCAAGATGTTCAGTGATACTTCTAAAGGACTCAAAATGTGATGCAGATTACCCTGTTTCTGTGAGGGAGTAAGAAGGTCCCTGGATGGTAAAAAAGGTTAAATGCTCAGCTTTTAACAGAAAGGGTGGAGGTGGGTTTCACCCTACCTCATGATCTATTTGGGAAATGTCAGTCTTTGAAAATCTACTGCTTAGTTCTACTGTGACACATGTGGAGAACCCATGAGTCAAAATCAACTCAATAGTAGCTGACAGGTAGGAACAACATTAAGAATGGTAGGCCATCCTTAGATAGGAGCAATACATGTTGGATGTGGAGAAATAGAAACTCCCATACACTGTTGATGGGATTGTAAAATGGTACAACTCTGAAAGGCAGGTTAGCATTTCCTCAAAAAGCTGAACTTAGAAATTCCGTAAGACCCAGATATTTCACTCCTAGAAATATACACAAGGAAATTTGAACTGAGACAGAAGTGGAGATTTGTACACCAGTGTTCATAGGAGCATTATTCACAATCACAAGAACATGGAAACAGCCCAAATATCCAACCACAATCAAATGGATTGAGAAATTGTAGTGCACATGATGGAATATTATGCGGCACTCAGGAGCAACAATCTCAAAAATTGCTATATAACTTGGGAGAGACTGGAGGATATTATGCTGAATGAAATAACTCAGTCTTATAAGGACAAATACTGCATAGGACCTTTATTGTAAAAACGGATAACTAGGAAAACATGCATGGGGACCCAAGGGGGGGAAAGGATAGGAAAAATGGGTGCAGGAGGGCAGGGATTAATCACAGGATGGCACAATTTGGTGGCTGGAAAATGGGTAAAGGAAATGGGAAAGATCAGGCAAAGATCTGGAAAAACAATAATGGTAGGCATGGTTTGATTGTGATTGATTTTATAAAACAATGAGAATAATTGAAACAATGTGAATGAAGGATAGTATGAAACACAATGTATAAGGACTTTGTATGCAAATTAATTTTTAAAAAAAGATGGTAGGTAGTGGAGTCATATATTCTGTTAAGCACAATGTTATTCTCACCATTGAAAATATATATGCTAATTAGACTACTAAAATATTCTCTTTTCATAGTCTAATGGTTTTTTAAATGAGAAATTGCATTCTTTTATGAGTTTATAATACTTCAGACTCATAAAAAGTTAACAGACTACCATATAGAATATATAACACTTAAAGATGTCATCTTGCTTTTTAACTTGTAATCCCCTTTTGAAGATACTTCTACAATAAAACAGTGATTTGCATAATCATAAAGGCTAGGTAGGTTCAGTTTAAATTAGGGAGACCACCAGGTATGACTTCTGCTCCTCAAAATAGAGAAAATGAATCCTGAAAAATGAAATGGTTGACAGACTGGTGCTGATTTGTAGAAAAGAAAACAAGTGAAGTATGAAAATGTATAATCACTTATATTTATAAAAGACTGAGAAAAACTGAATAAATTATGTATACTGCACTGAAACAGATGAGGGAGAGAACAATTTAAAAGCGATGTATGATAGGGTATTATGGTTATCACAAGAGTCCAGAATTAAGATTGCACAGTGGAGTGTACTCGGGGCAGGGGGAAGGTGGGGGACGTGGAGGGATTGTTTACCAATGAAAGAATTTTTCTTTTACTTTTCAAAGAGAGGAGTGAACTGGGGGGGAGGGCGGGCAGGGAGAAAAGTGAAACAATGAATGAATGGAAATCCAAAATCTCTCTAAATGTTTATTAAAATTAGTAAAATATTTTTTCTTTTAGAAAATAATGGGAATTATTAATCCCTGATAGTGGTATTTTTAGAACTAGACTTACTTTGGCATTTTTCTTTTGAAAAGTTTTGATTGTGGTTGGGTGGTGTGTTTTGGGGTTTTTTTTTAAATTTTGTATTTACTATGATTTATTCATGGTAATTAAACCTTTTTTAAAAAAATTAATTTTAATGAAAGTTTACAGAGAGTTAGAGTTTCCGGTCATTCATTGTTGCACTTTTCTCCCTACACAGCCCCACCCCCCAATTCACTCTTCTCCTTGAAAAGAAAGAAAAAACTCTTTGATTGTTATGCAATCCCTCCCCTCCAAGTCCACTCCACTAAGCACCCTTCACTCTGGACTTCTAAGAAAAGAGTACCCATTCATGTAACCCTTATAAACAGTTTTCTTCCTCATCTGTTTCAAGGCAATATATATCACTCCTCCCCTCCTTTTCTGTCTTCCCTCAAACCTGATGTCAGTCCCATTTTACAACAGTGGCCCTATGCAATATTTGTCTTTTTGTGACTGAGATATTTCACTCAGCATAATGTCCTCCAGTGTCATCCATTTTGCATAATATTTCATTAGTTCCTTCTTTTTCAAAGATGCATAGTATTCCATTGTGTAAATCTACCAGAGCTTCTCTATCCATTTGTTTGTTGTTGGGCACTTGGGTTGCTTCCAGTTCTCTGCTGTTGCAAACAAAGCCACGATAAACATGGGTGTGCATATATCTTCTTGGGTGACAGTTATGGTTTCTTTAGGCTAAATTCCCATTAGTGGAACAAATGATATCTCTATTTCCAACTTTTAGAGAAAG